GCGCCGTAGCCCGAGGGAGCGCTCCGGCCCCGCCATTTGCGGCCACGGCGAAGCGCTGCTGGAAGAAAACACCAAACGTCCCCACGAAGCTGCAGGTTTAGGAAAGAACGCTGCCCACGTTTTTGTTGTTTCCCTGCAGATTGGCCCCTTTCCACGAGAGGCTGGGTTTAGTTGCTCTTCAGAACTTTACGGACTGTGGGTAAAGGTTAACGGATGAAAGGAAAGTTCTTGATCATTCGTGCTATGGGTAACGATGTGCCCAAGCATCTTAATAGCGTCGGGAGTAAACAGTAGACACAAAAGCTTCTGACCCGGTGGGGGCAGGGGCCCGGGGAAGCCCGCAAGCCGCTCCCCGCAGGAAATGCACGCTGCATAAAATCCAGGGGGACCGCTGTGGCACGGACAATGAGTGCATTTGTGCGGCGGGAAGCCTGACCCCAGAAGCACCAAATTTGGATCAGTGAAAAAGAACCTGTGTGGAAGGTGAATTACTCTAAAGGAATTTGGCCCTAAGTTGTTTGCAGCGAGAAGGTAAATACAGTATTCCTAGATGAAATGGGAGATGCTAGCAAAAATGCCTTCTCCGTTCAATGTAAAATAACCAATACCAAATTAGAAGTGAACATTTATTTAAAATGAAAAGTTAGAGGTGTGTCCTTAAACTCAAAACACTGCTGCCCACTCTGGTTTCAGCAGTCACTTCTCCCTAATTCACTCAAAGGAAAGGGCGCGCGGCGGGGCGGGTAATGAGGGCAGAAGGTTACTCTGGAGAGTTGTTGGAATCAAGGTATTCAAGTAAGAGCTGATCCCAGAGCCTCGTAAAACTGAGGCAGTCCCCCCCACCTCTTGACTTTTTAGGGTCTTCAGTCTGCTTCAATGACAGCTTCATTATAGGGACTGGCTACTTACAGGGTAAAAAGGATAACTTCTTCATCACTAACAGTTTTAATAATTCTACCTTCAAATCTCAAATGCTGTCACAAAGTTCTCCATCTTCCTCCAACCCCCATAGGCCAAGCCATTGTGATCTCTTGCCAAGAATTGCAGTAGCCTACTGGTCCCTACTTATCTTCTTAACAGAGTCATGACCCACATAATGATGCTTTGAATAACCAAGGACTGCATGTAACATGGTGGTCCCAAAAGATCGTAATGGAGTTGATTACTGTCACCTAGTGTCATCGTAATCACTTAACACCTTAACAGCAGAACACAGTGAATTGTTCATGAGTTTGTGGTGATGCTGGTATAAACAAACCTACTTCCTTGCCAGTCGTATAAAACTATAGCACATACAATTATGTATAGTACATAATACTTGATAAATGACTATGTCACTGGCTTATGTAGTTTACTAAACTTTTCATTGCTATTTTAGAGTATACGCTTCCTACTTTAAAAAAAAAATACTTAGCTGTAGAACAGTATGCTGTGTTCTGCCAGCAGCAGCCTTATAACCTCTTGTGTTTACCAGGTCTCTCGATTGCATCATTTTCTCTTGTGCTTGATTTAATCTCGTGTTGTTTGGTATAGTCACATGCTCTACAGTTTGCAACCTAGGAGCAATACGCTACCCCATATAGCCTAGGTGTGTGGCCAACTGTACCATCCAGGTTTGTGTTAAGTACCTCTGTGATGTTGCATAGGGATGAAATCACTTCACCTCGCATTTCTCAGAATGATCTCTGTCAGTAAGAGGCGCATGACTGTAGTTCATTCTCCAGAAGGTAGCCAGAGGGTTTTGCGGTTTTTTTTAGACACATCAGATCAGGTTGCGCCTTGGTTAAATCCTTTTAAAAATTTCCCATTGCATTTCAGATATTATCGTACCCCTTACCCTGATCTGAAGGCCCCTTCGGCTCACAGGACTTGCCCCCTCACTCACTTCACCCTGGCCACACGACCTCCTTGGTTCTTGACAGCACTTTTCTACCAAGGAGGCTTGTCTGTGCCTGTTCCCTCAGTGGAGTGATATTGCTCATATTCTTTTCATAGCTGACTCCTCATCTTTTGCCCTCCTGCAAGAGGTCGATTCCAATCAGTCCATGTAAACTAGCATGCTAGGACTTGCGAAAGTCCCCCACTCAGCTCTATTCATGCCAGATTCTAAAGCTCAACATTCACTACTTGTGCCAATGAAGGATTATTTATTCAATCATTCGTTAATGAATGTTGACTGAATTACTTAGGCCTGAAAGATTAAAATACATTTCAAGCTAAAGAATAAAATCAGATGCAACATGTTACATGACTTAATTTAATAAAGTTTCCACACCCAGAAGGATAGCAGAGGACATTGATCAGGGAAAGGAAAAGAGGAAAAAAAGCAGAGGACCGCCTAAGCACACTCTTCAGGTGAGAAGGAAGTCAAGCAAGAAGAAAAATAAAGATTAGAGGGGACTAAAGGGAGGCTGGAGGCCCAAAGCAACAATTCAATACAGAATTTATGCACAACCACACACCTGTACAATGTGAAAATGTCAGTACCCATATCTATAGTGCTCGTATGTATGTATTAGGATTTCCAGTGCCATCATAACAAATCAATTTGAGCTAGCTTAAGCATAAAGGAAATCACTATTAGGATGCAGGTTTTTCTCCTGTAACCTAAAGTCAGGAATGCAGAGTTGTCATTTGGAGATAAAGTCTTTAAAGAGATAATTAAGTTAAAATGAGATCATTAGGATGGACTCTAATCCAATATGACTGGTGTCTTCATAAGAAGAGATTAGGACATAGATACACACATGGCTAGGACACATGTGAAGACACAGGGAGAAGGCAGCTATCTAAAAGCCAAGGAGAGAAACCTAGAAGAAATCAGGCTTGCTGACAACTTTGATCTCAGGTTTCTAGCGTCCAGAATCATGAGGAAACGCAGTTCCATTGTTGAAGCCACGCAGTCTGTAGTACTGTGTTATGGCAGCCCTCGCAAGCTAATTCAGGTGGTGTATAAACCTCAGAGTGAGACCCCAGTATTTCTTAAACCTTGCAGGCTAAAAGTAGTGTGGAAAGCTGCCAACAGTTTTCATTTTCTGGGAAGAGATTTGGATTCCTTTTTGAGAGTAAATCATTTTGGGGAGTGGGGGTGATGGGGAAACACTGTTTTTGTTTACAAAAGTAAATTCATAAGTTTATTCCCAAATGAAGTTTAGGAAAATGAAGCACTGTTCTGCTGCTCCGTGTGATCTGGTAAAAATGTGTCTTTACTGTTGGCAAGGTTATTAAACTGACTTGGTGTTGGGACTAAGTTTTGGCATGCGAAGAAACTGGGTTTTCACCTTTTACTGAGCCTAGAGGGATGTACAGGCGTGAGGAAAACATGTTCCAAGGCACTCCCGTTGTCTAGAGGTAAAATGAGCCCTACAATTTAGTAAGCAATAGGCTGGAGAACCTCTAGAACTTTCTTGTCATTCAAACAGGTTGGCACAGTGAAAGACAAATGTTTGGAGGCAAGCAAAGTTGGAGGCTTAAAATAATGTAATTTCCACCGTAAAGGAAATTCCACTGCCTGAAGATGAGGGCGTCTTGACTGCATTGGCAATTATTCATCGCTCAGTTTGAGTTAAACTTTTATGTCCAGCAGTGAGTGATACAGTCCATTCCTCCTAGATGGATGTGTTATGTTTCTATAGCTTTCCTTTTAGGATTTTCCTTTGGCTCCTACAAAATCTCCAGTCTATTCCTGCCTTCCTACTTTTGCATTTTGACTATTCTATTGGACATGCAAAAACGAATAAGACATGACAACAGTGATTAAAAAAAAAAAAAAGTAGCAACAATGATAAGAGAAGAGGCCAAGAGCGAAGTTTTTAACCAATAAAAAAGGCTGTTAAGGGAATGGCAGTCAAGCATAACAACTGTTACCCTAAATTCAGGTAGTTTGAAGTCTAGGAGCTTCCATGAAGTTTAATAAATTCATCAGTGATTTTGGTGAGAACAGCTTTAGTGTGGTGCTGGGGGCAAAAATCAAAATGCAGTGGGAATGATTTATAAACAACTTTTTTTTCAAGAGATTTACTGTAAAGAGAGGAGAAATATAAAATGAGAAAGGGGACAAGGGATTACGGCCATCGTTCCTAGACTATGCACCAAAGTGTCCTGGAGAACAGCAACAAACTGTGTCATAGGATGGACAAAGAAAATGTCCAGGGAAACACGCCAATATCTGGAATACCAGAGGAACTACTAGCTCACGGGAATTCATAATTTCAGCGTTAGATTGTGCTGCCTGCCTTTTGGTGAGGTTATGCCTTTGTGAAGCCGGGTTTGTAAAGTCCCTGGGGTTAAAATGAAGTACTATGTGAAAATCAGCGTGGAACAGGAAGTAAGAAGACCACTGTGAATAATGCTGCTATGAACATTAGTGTGCAAATATCTTTTCAGATATATGTTTTCAAGTTTCTGAGGTAAATATCCAGTAGAGGGATTGCTAGATCATATGGTAGATCAATTCTTAGTTCTTTGAGGAAACTCCATACTGTTTTCCATAGTGGCTGCACCAATTCGTAGTCCCA